CACTGTACCCCAACTGCTTTTGCTCAGGTTGGAGTCATTCTGTCTGCAGTGGCCTCTGTCTGAGGCTCCAGCTGGATGGTCAGTGATGTTTCAACAGGTGTTCCAGACCCCCAGGTAACTGAGTCCTCAGGCTGGGTTTCCTTGTTCCCAATTCTGCCACCGGCATGGCCGTCACTCCTGATTCTTTGACTCCTTGACCCGTTAGAGCGAGCTCATGCGTATCTCCGAAGGAGGGACAGGTATTAAGCTTCGAGTGGCAGAATAGTGTAGACAAATGTCAAGACAGAAAATCCTCATGTGTACTGCAAGGCTCTCTTCTTTCAGGGACAGTGAGCCTTATTTTTATGCAGAGTGGTCACCTTGGAGTCCCCCCAGTAGCAAAGGGCCCACACCACCCTCTCTTGGCTGTTCCTGTGACACCCTGGAAAGGGCTCCAGGTTAAGCATGTGTGGAAAGGACCCTCCCATCCTTTCTTTCTTCCCCATCACCGTCTGGGGGGTGGCGGGCAGCACCGGGCCTGGGGCCGCTTCTTCTCCTTACAGTGCAATGCGTCACCCTCCACGTGTTAGTGACACAAGGCCATGTGTTGAACATATCACGTGATGGAATAAGCAGCTTGAGAATTAACGATGCCCACTTCTTGTCAGTGGTGAGCTCCTCAGGAAAAAACGAGAGGCATCTTTTTCCCTTCTGCTAAGAGGGGAGTCAGGTTCTGTGCCCTGGTTGTCTGGACTCCTCCTGTCTCAGGGGAGCAGATGCCTTTCTGTTCAACAGTCTGGGTTCTGCAGAGGTCGGCAGCCCCCCGGAAGGATGAGGGCTCTGAGGGTTAAGGGGCGAGGTTGCAGGGGATAGCCCCAAGGCTGGCCAGATGGAAGGAGGTGCTCTTCTGAAATGTTGACAACCCATCCTGGCTTGTAGGCACTACCTCCTGAAGGGTGACACCTTGGATGAGGGCTGGCCACTTGGAGGCCAGTGATGGATCAGGTACTGATGTGAAAGGCCCTACCAGTCAAGCTAAGTCCCCTGGAGCAGAGCCTGGCATGCAGGGAGTGGCACATTCAGCATTGACTCCTGGCCAGCACGCGGACCTGGCTGTGCTGGGCTCATGGACCAAATTAGGCCCGTTTCAGATGGAACCACAGCACTGGACAGAGGGTGGGAACATCACCACTGCACCTAAGGTAATGTGAGGCAAACCTGCTGATCATTGACCCCAGACTTAGAGAACTAGTTAGTGTGGGAGACCATTTGCATGGCATCCATCTTGTTAAGTCTGCTCTGCCGTCTCCCGCCCCAGGGCGGGGTCTCTCTGCGTGCAGTGTCTGCATTCCTCTAGATAATTGTTTACTCCATTCTTTGCTTATTTGTTCCACCTGGGGTATTTACTGGAATTTGCTTCAGGTGGGATACTTATTAACTGTTTCACCTGTTTTCCCCTATATATTATGTGAACTCCCCCTGAATAAACGAGACTTGATCAGAGCCCTGTCTTGTCTCCATTTCTCGAGTCTCTTGTCCCTCCTCATCCTCACTCCCCTCTAGAGTCCTCGTTGCTCGACCTGCGGGATGGGTCAAGTTAGGGTCCTGCTAAATTCCCAGGGTTTCTGTAGAGCCCAAGAGTGGTAATGGGAGCCTCAAAAAAAAAAAAATAGATACTGGACTTCTCCCTGACCCTCAAAAAACTTTAATTTGGAATAATTGTAGATTTACAGAAATGTTGCGAACATAGTACAGAAAATGTATGTCTACCCCTCGTCCAATTTGTCTCATTGTGAACATGCTATGTTTCGATGGTCCGTTTTTCTAAACTCAGAAGCTTTCATAGTACGTTATATTAACTACATTCCAAACTTTATTTGGAGGCCGCCAGTTTTTCTACGAGTGCCCTTTTTCTGGTCCAGGATCTCACCTAGGGCACCGCATGGCATTGAGCCGCCCTGCCTCCCGGTGTCCTCTGTTCCGTGCCAGTTTCTCAGTCTTCCCTAATTTTTCATGACCTTGACAGTCTTTTTTTTTTTTTTTTAATCCTCACTCGAGGACATTTTTCCATTTTTTGTTCAGATAGAGCGGGAGGGAGAGAGAGGAAGAGAGAGAGAGAGAAACATCAACATGCAAGGGACACATGGAGTGGCTGCCACCCACATGACCAACCAGGGCCAGGGACAAACTGCAACCGAGGTACGTGCCCTTAGCGGAAACCGAACCCGGGTCTCTCTGGACCGCAGGCCGACGTTCTAACCGCTGAGCCAAACCAGCCAGGGCGACCTTGACAGTCTTAAAGAGCACTGGCCAGCTAGCCTGTAGAATGTTTCCCAAACTGGGTTGGTCAGATATTCCTTCTCGTGATTAGGCTGGGGATATGGGATTTGGGGAAGAATACCAAGGTTGTATCTCATTACATCACATCAGAGGGCCCACGACGCCCCATGGCATCATCGACCATGTCGGCCCTCCTCACCTGGTGAAGGGGGTGTCTGTGGGGTTTCACCCTTGTCAAGTGACCAAGTCACCATTTCCCTACTCTATTCTTCATGAGCCATCCAGTGCTTCTTTTATTTGCAATAGAAAAAGAAAGAAGTGTAATGCTCCTTGCAACCGAATGTCATAGAACACTTCTTGCTTATTATATTTATACTTGACAAGGGTTTTCTTGAAGCCCTCTGCCTGGACCAAAAGTAGCAACTCGAATGGTGGGCGTTTCAGGCTCTGTGACAGCTGGGTGTGGGCGTGTGGGCCTGGGTGAGAACAGTGAGCAGCGTTCTGGGTCCTACCCCGCAAGCCGCGCCCTGCTCCTCTGCCTATACACAGGGCCAGAGACGGGTTGCTAGCCTGTTCACAAAGTCTTGATGCAGATTTGAAAACTTAAAACGCCCGCCTACACACGTACGAGGGACCATCCCACCACTTCTTTTGTAACGCAGGGTGTAAGCGCAGATTTAGAAGGGGTGGTGACTGTTTACCCAGGACAAATGAAGCATCTTTGGTGGAGAGTGTAATTAGAGAGGCTCGCTTTCAGCTTCGAGTCAAAGCATTCCTAATGAGACAGTCGTTCCATTTCAAGAGCAAGACCTTCCCTACACCTTTGAAATTGGAGGCTGCGTGAGGATAGGTATAAAAGCAAGTGGAGAGCTTCCAGCTGAGTGTTCACGCTCACCGTCTAGAAAGATGCCGCCTCCGAGTCCTGTTGCCACCTGCTTGAGCTTCAGGTATTCCTGTGAGGACCTCTTATTTTCCCAGCCACTTCTGATGACCCCGCGAGCTATGCATGTCCAGGTTTGATGCTTTAGACAGAAAGCACTTCTGTGATTGGACTCAGCAGAAAGGCTATGAACCATTCAGAATATCTAAAATGACAGTCAATGTCGTTACGGGAACACTGCAGACATTGTTTATTGGGCTTCTGACTGGCAGAGAAGCAAGAAATTTAGCAACAGATTGAGAGCAATAAAGCATGGTAATGTTTATTCACACATTGTGCTGTTGAAATTAAAATTTAGTTCCATAAGTCTTTGACTTGGGTCTTTTAACCGAAATCATCTCAATATCCCTTCAACGTGGGCTGTGTGAAAGCAGTTCTGCAGAAGGTCAGTGAAGCACAGACGTGATGGAGTCTTCGGAAGAGAGCTAGGAGAACAGGAAGCGGTCATGGGGGAGGGGCGGTTCTTCCCATGATCAAGGCTGAAGTCCACCTCCCAAGCCCACCTCCGCCTGGCTCTCTTTTGACCTTCTTTTTTATTCTACACCTTCTGCTAAGACTGCGGGGCAGAGGATTAGCACAAGATTCTGCTTCTGCTCCTGAGACACCTCCAGTTTAGAGGGGATGGCAGCCAGGGAAAGGTGACGTGGGACAGACAGATGAAGAGCTGAGCAATTGCACTAGTGGCTGGAGTTACCGGCTGAGGAAGTGGGGTGGGGGGGGAAGGGGATTCTAGGCAAAGACAAAGGGAGCTAAAGTGCCCAGAGACAGGCTGAGAAAATTGCAGGCAGCTAACTTGACCAACCTTCATGAAAATAACAAAGAGATTTTGCTTCTCTTGAAGAAAAATATGATGACATAATGATTAAATTTGATTTGGTAAAATAAACATACAGCAGAGCTAAGAAAGTTTTGGGAAAGGATGATGGAGAGAGGAAAGAGCCTTAAATATTAAAGGGGTTTAGAAAGCTACTTTAAAACATGATGCTTTGGACATAAGAATTGTTAAATGGATAGACAGAACTAACGAGTTAACCTGAAAGAGACCATAAAACGTTTAAGTACTTAATAGATCATAAAGGAACCAATGGGGGAAGATTGGGATTTTTCGAAAAGGGGTGGAAACATTGGTTGTTTGTGAAAGGTTGAAGATAGAATCTCACCTTATATATCAAAACATATTACAGGTGGATTAGCATAGAAATAAAATGCAAAGCCTCTTAAAAGCAGAAGAAAATATCAAAATTGAGCCTTTTCTAAGTATACTTCAATAGAATAAATTATTATGAAAAAGAATGAGATTTTTCAATAAAATAAAATAAATGCTTATGTATCTAAGGTAGGTGTGGGGAATGTCTGGCCCGCGGCCGTATAAGGCCTGCAAAATCAGTAACAGCTGACATGACATGCCTCCCCAAAGAGGAGCCATTCCAGCTATCACATTAGGGATGAATTAATGAAATGATCAAATACAGCAGGCTAATTTTTTTTTTTATCTTCACCCGAGGACATTATTTTCCATTTTTTGTTCAGACAGAGTGGGAGGGAGAGAGTGGAAGAGAGAGAGAGAGAAACATCGATGTGAAAGGGACACATCGAGTGGCTGCCACCCGCACGGCCAACCAGGGCCGGGGACAAACTGCAACCGAGGTACATGCCCTTAGCGGGAACCGAACCCGGTCTCTCTGGACCACAGGCCAACGCTCTAACCGCTGAGCCAAACCGGCCAGGGCCAACAGGCTAATTTTTTTTTTGACTGTCCTAAATTGTTTATCAAGTAAGAATTTTACAAACATTACTTATATTAGCGGTAACGGTGGAGCTGGAGAGTACTGCGCCTTCTCCACCCTGCAGGGCCAGAACCACCAACAGTGCGGTGGGACTGGTGGCCCCTTCCAAGGCCACGGCTCTTGTGGCCTGCAGATGTCAGCCCTCGCATCTCTCTGTGCCTGTGGACTGGTTTGATGATCCATTGGGTGTCAGGATTCCTTCTGATAGCGTTATGGAATGGATCAATGAGGATAACCTCTAAGAATTTGTATGTGGAATCTTCACCAACCCAGTAAGAATTCAGGACTCTCAAAGCCCCACAGTGGCATCCGGCTCGCTCCTCGGCGACAGACTGAAGACTTTGAGCAAACTTGAGCTGGCTAACATCGTGATGCACAGGCTTGCCGTAGGTCGTACCCTTAGGAACCACGGTGCACACGAATCCGATATATGACATAACCTTGGCCGTGTATCCCAGCCTGTGCGCTTTACGGGGCCGGTGGGGGTGGGGCCCTGTGGAGCGCAGAGAGCCGGCGGTACCTTCCGCAGCGCACCCGGAGAAGGAGGCGCATTACATCGGACTGCTGCTTCCTCCACGGCTCCAGGATGCACTTGTAAGTGCCCAGTTTGGCTTACCTGGTGGCTGCAGCCCCACGGAAAAGCAGCAAGCTGATTTTTAAGTTGATAATTTTGTAGGGCCCTCGAATGATGTTATAAATATCCAAATGGCCCTTGGCAGATAAAAGGTTCCCCACCCCTGAATTCTAAAGAAACATTAGACCATAAAAAGGCAGTGACTGGCAGAAATATTTTAATACTATGATAAAGAGTGAATATACTTATTTTACAAGCAAACCATATAAAATATTTTAAAAAAGCGTTCTTGCCCTCGCTGGTTTGGCTCAGCAGACCAGAGAGTCGTGGGTTTGGTTCCGGGCAAGGGCACGTACCTCAGTTGTTGCGGTTCGTCCCAGCCCTGGTCGGGATTTTGCAGGAGGCAACTGGTCGATGTGTCTCTCTCATGTTGATGTCTCTCTCTCTCTCTCTCTCCCCATCTCTCCCTCCCACTCTATCTGAAGATAAATAGAGAAAATATCCTCGGGTAAGGATAAAAAAAGAGAAAAGAGTTCTCTGGAAAAATAGACTAAGAGTTGAACAAAAGTGCAGACATCCAATAAATGTGAAAGAACATTCAACTTTAGAGATAAAGAGAGAATGTACAATAAAATGAAAAGAGCTTATTTCGCCTATCAAAAGGGCAAAGGTTGTTTTTTTTAAAAAAATACTTATCTTTATTGTTGAATATATTACAGATGTTCCTCATTTTCCCCCCATTGACTCCCTCCTCCCCTCTCCTGCCCCCCTCCTGCTTTTCCCCACACTGTTGTCTGTGTCCATTGGTTATACATATACACATATTAATTCTTTGGTTTATTTCTTCCCACCCTCCCCAACCCCCCTTCCCTTTGAGGTTTGTCAGTCTAGCAACCAATTTGTACTTCTTAATCCCTTCACCTCTTTTACCCATTTCCCCAACCCCCCTCCCATCTGGCAACCAACAAAATGTTCTCTGTATCTATGAGAATGTTTCTGTTCTGCTTGTTCATTTTGTTTGTAGATTCAATTGTCGACAGATTTGTATTCATTGCCATTTTGTTTGTTTATATTTTTTATCTTTTTCTTCAAGAAGACCCTTCAACATTTCATATAATAATGGTTTGGTGGTGATGAACTTTTTTAGCTTTTCCTTGTCTGGGAAACTCTTTATATGGCCATTGATTCTAAATGACAGCTTTGCAGGATAGAGTAATCTTGGTTGTAGGTTCTTGCTTTTCATCACTCTGAATATTTCTTGCCACTCCCTTCTGGCCTGCAAAGTTTCTTTTGAGAAATCAGCTGACAGCCTTATGGGAACTCCCTTGTAGGTAACTGCTTTTCTCTTGCTGCTTTTAAGATTCTCTCTGTCTTGAACCTTTTGCATTTTGATGATGATGTGTCTTGGTGTGGGCCTCTTGAAGTTCATCTTGTTTGGGACTCTCTGTGCTTCCTAGACTTGTGTTTCTGTTTCCTTCATCAAGTTATGGAAATTTTCTGCCATTATTGTTTCAAATAGGTTTTCAATTTCTTGTTCTCTCTCTCCTCCTTCTGGCACCCCCAAGATGCGAATGTTGGCACGCTTGAAGTTGTCCCAGAGGCTCCTTACACTATCCTCATTTTTTTTGGATTCTTTTTTCTTTTTGCTGTTCTGATTGGGTGTTTTTTCCTTTCTTATATTCCAAATCGATGGTTTGCTTCTTGACTTTACCTACTCTACTATTGAATCTGTGTAAATTATTCTTTATTTCAGTTAATGCCTCCTTCATTTCTGACTGTGCATCCTTCATTTCTGACTGGTCCTTTTTTATGCCCTTGAGGCCCTCAGTAAGTTTGCTGAGGTTCTCACTAAGTTCATTGAGCATCCTTATAAGCAGTCTTTTGAACTCAGCATCTGTTAGGTTGCTTATCTCCATTTTGCTTAGTTCTTTTCCTGGAGTTTTGTTCTGTTCTTTATTTGGACCTGTTTCTTTGTCTCCTCATTTTGGCTGCCTCCCTGTGTTTGTTTCTGTGTATTACTTAACGAGCAGTATGGGGCTCGCTGACACCAGATGCTGTTTGTTTGAAAGAATTAAGGAAAACCTGAAGCAGGATTCAAGACAGGCCAATCCTACGGTTAAGCAAGTGGCAACAGCTTGGGTGGGCCTGAAAGTTGGGTGGGGTGGGGCAGGGCCTCAGGGAATCACCAGGGTGGGGCTACCAGTGTGAGCCAGGTTGCTAGAGGCCCGGATATGGCGGCTGTCTGCCGCCCCAGGGAAGGGCTCACCAAAGGAACAAAGGCCTCTGACAGCACGTTTGTCCAGGAGAAAGCCCCCTCTCCAGCCCTCGCTCCAGTGCCAAACAGCTCAGTTCTTCCCTGTATGTCTCTGGTGCCCCTTGAGCTGCCTCCCCTCCAAGCTTAGAGGGAGAGAGTCCAATAAGTCCGTGCGTGGGCCCTTTAAGGAGCTGCCTGGGGCTCCAGCCGCCTCGGCCTCCCTGAGCCTCAGTTCCCGCTGGTTTTTCCAGCCAGAAGTGATGGGGATTCTCTTCCTGGCACTGGGACCCTGAGCGGGGCACCTGGTGTGGGACGGGGACCCCCCAGTCCTCAGGAAGGACCTTCCCAGCCGAGGTGTCCTCCTGATTTTTATCCGCCACACGTGGGTGTGGGCCCAGCCCGTCCCCTCCGCCCTCCTACAGTCTGGATGCTGCTGCTTTAATTCTGTAGCTGTAGGACTTCCATTCAGCTGATGTCAGGCGGTTCTGAAGGATGGTTGTGCTGTAGTTTAGTTGTCACCTTGATGTGGTTGTGTGAGGACGGATTCCGCGTTTACCTACCGCCATCTTGACCGGAAGTCTCTGTTGTTGTTTTTGTTTTTTTTTATCCTCACCCGAGGACATTTTCTCCATTTTTTGTTCAGGTAGAATGGGAGGGAGAGAGGAAGAGAGAGAAAGAGAGAAACATCGACGTGAAAGGGACACATCGAGTGGCTGCCACCCGCACGACCAACCAGGGCCGGGGACAAACTGCAACCGAGGCACATGCCCTTAGCGGGAACCGAACCCGGGTCTCTCTGGACCGCAGGTCAACGCTCTAACCACTGAGCCAAACCGGCCAGGGCTGTTGTTGTTTTTTAAAGAGACTGGCAATATGCACCATGAGCCTTGGAAATATGTTCATTATCTTTGATCCCAAATTCAATTTTTAGGAATCTAGAATTTTGAAAATAGCAACCCCTTTATTTAAAAAAATTTTAGTTTATTTTTAGAGAGAGAAAGATGAAGAGAGGGAGGGAGGGAGAGAAAGAAACATTGATGTGAGGGAGAAACATTGGTTGATGGAGCCCACAACCCAGGCATGTGCCCTGACAGGGAATCGAACCTACGACCTTTCAGTGCACAGGACAACATCCAACCAGCTGAGCCACACTGGCCAGGGCACAACCCCATTATTTTTAAAGCAAACTCTCCATAAATGTATACTAACTGTGACCAAAAACCCTTAAAATTATAACTGATACTCTCCTCTTTTACATCATTTTACAGTCAGATCGTTCAGTCACTAACACTGTGACACAGGCAAGTTCCTTAAACTCTCTGTACCTCAGTTTTTAATCTTTAAAATGGTATTTTGTTGTTCAGTTAATTCCCTAAAGTATTGGAGGGCACATATAATTGCTCAGTAAATGGTGTGGCCATGGTTTTCAGGCCTCATCATCCTGTTCCAGTCCCTCGACGTGTATTTGCTAGGTTGATTTGAATGAACAAGTAAACCACCATTCTGGTTTAGGAATCTGGTAGAAAATAGGAATCCAGCAAAAGAGAGAAGGAAGGATTTTGGAAAACTGTAAGGATCTTGGCTCTTGTTGAACAAAAGTAGGTGAACACCAAGTAGAATAAATCAGTTCAAATGCTCCCAGGAGAGAAGGTCACAGAGGCCGAAGGACATAGACTGAAGCCCTGAATTAAGCATTGATAAGCCTAGACTAAAAGATTAAACAAGCCTGGCCGGTGTGGCTCACTGGTTGAGCGTAGACCATGCACTAAGAGGAGGTCACCCACTGGTTTGATTCCTGGTCAGGGCACATGCCTGGGTTGTGGGTCCAATCCCCAGTATGGAGCATGTGGGAGGTGGCCAATCGATGTTCTCTCTCATCGATGTTTCTGTCTGTCAGTCTCTCCCTTCCTCTCTCTCTAAAAATAAATTAAAAAATTTTTAAAAATCAAAAGCTTAAAAAAAATTAATTAATTAAACAAAACCAAGTAGTTGGCCACACAAGTTTTCAGGACATATCTATGTTGAAGGATGCCACCCCCAAAAAGATGGCTTCATTTGAACCTGAAAAATAATTGAACTGAAGTCCTACAATGTGACTGTCAGTGATGCCGATCTTACTGAGATGTATTTGTGTCAACGTAAATGCCCACTGGTGTCTCTGTCAGGAGGAGACACAAAACTGGTGAGTAGACTTGGCTAACAGGACAACTTCTGGATGGCTAGCTCTTGCCCAGATTCCCACTAAGGAAATGACAACAGTCCATGTGAGATCTGGAGACTAAGGAAGACTGACCGCCCTGTGCCAGGAACACGGAGGCATCTCTGTGTTTACAGCCCAGACCTGACCAGATTAGACGTAGGGACAGTGCAGGCTCAGGCACACTCCCTGGCCCCAGAGGCCACAGCCTGTAAAAATTCAAAGCTGGACCCACTAGATCTGCAAATTCCTGGGGTTTATACTCTCATGATCCCTTCTGCCCCAGCTTGGCCCATATCAGCCTGGCCAGAAACAAACACTTCAGTGCTTTTCACAAATAATTCACTTAGACCAGCACCTCATGGGTTTCGTTGATTAACGCACGGGTTTCTGCCATTGCTGTGACTTCCCTTTCTCCTCTCCCACCCTGCTCCCCACTTCTCAGGATCAAAACAAAGTCCTGTCCCTGCCTCATGGTTCACAGTTGAACAATCACCTTTAGTAACAGAGACCTGTCTTTGGAGTCGCATCCCCTCTCCTAAGCAGCTTGTCAAATTATTTCTTCCAGGTACAGTGTTCCCCCCAAGAGGAATTCTGGTAAGTGACTCCCCCCCATTTGTTGCACACACGTGTGAAGGGACCCCTTATCTGGGAAATGGGAGAGGCTTAGATCTTGCCAGTATCCACCAAATCTGAGGATCAGGCTGGAGGGGAGGGTGGTGGGGGCAGGCCAGGAAGGGAGAGAACCATCGAGATTTTGCCAGCTCTGTAGAATCTTTGGGGAGCAGTCATTTCCAGTGCCAGCACGTGGAGTGGACCGCGGCGCCGGGCAGAGTCGGGAACCCCAGGGCAGCTTGCTCGGAGGACAGCTGCATCGGGCAAAGCATGTGCGTTGCTGTGAACATGAGCAGGGTCTCTGGCACGTAGGGGTAGCCTGCGTCCCTTCTTTCCTCCCCAACCCCCACCAGACTCTCTGCCAAAGCTGCCAGACCTCTGACCTAGCAAAGTGAAATGAGAGAGAATCTCTTTACTTGTGTGGAAAATTCAAACAGGTGGCCCCATCATTTTGACAGATTGCACCTCAACTCCAGACAGCTCATCCACCTTCTCTGGTTGGCTCGGCCCAGACGGAATGCATGAGTCACAAGGGCTTCACAGTTCTGATGCAGGGAACCATCGGAGGAACCCAGCAAATATGCACAATAAACAATGAAATAAACTCAGTGCAAAAAAAAGAGTCTGATTTGTGTTCTCATTAAGACCCAGGAGGACGCTGAGCTGGGGTGAGAGGGAAAACAGTCCGAGGAGGGGGACATCTGGGAGCAGGAGGGGCAGCCGGGATGACAATGAGACTGCCAAGCCGCAAACCCCAACAGAGGCCCTGATACCACAGAAATGGAAATCAGCGCTAAGATTGAGACATTCTCCAAGAACCCGGAGGAAAAATAAAAAAAGAGGTGATGGGGAAAGTTGAATAACAATAAGTATTATTTCAAAAAGGAGTTGGGGAATAGAAAGGTGAACTAGAAGCAAAAGGAGGCTCTGAACTGTTGTAGTTTGGGGGAATGAGGATCTTTCTAGAAAGGACGAGGGCAGGGCCCTTACGAGGAAGTACACCGTGTCCCTGGAACAGGCGGAAACGAGCCTATGACAGCAGGATTCAGCAAAGAGCTCAGCTTGCAGGGCCAGGCCCACTCTGGCCAGCAGCATCTTGACCACGGTATTTGCAGAGTGTTTGCATAGCTCACACATTTTCCTCTTCATCTGCAAGAGTGGGATCTGGGGGCTTTAGGGAGGCAATAAAAAAGATCTGATGAGAATTACTGCAATTAATTGAGGAATAATTTACATTGTACATATGCATTAGTTGCTCATAGGTAAGCTGCCTTTCTGATGTAGAGGATTTTGATGTTAGTTTCCTGAGCACGGGGGAAGGAGTGAAGACCCTTGGAGCAGCATGGCGGAGAAAATAGTGCTCGTCTAATTTTGGTCCGGGTTCATCTCCTGCCTGTGTCCAGGCATGCCTGCAGGTGCCAGGCTGGTCTGAGAGCCAGGGTCATCCTCACTAGTCTTGGTTTCCACAAATGCCCTTGTCCACCGTTCTTATCTCCAGGCCGGTGCCTCGTCTGTCTGCCTGTCCCTGCTCCTTCCCACTTGTGTGTGTGCTCCTGGCACTCTGTCCCGAGTTTGCCTGCTCTAGGGTACAGTGTTTAGCTCTTTATAGAGTGCATCTGCTGTGCCAGTGGAATGAGCTATCTGTGTTATTTGGTGGGGAAAATGAATCCCTAATCGGAATCTGAGATGAAGATGTAGCCCCAGGTGGCAGAGACCATGATACTTCCCATGGAACCCCCAGCCGCTGCAGATCCAGGTTCTCACTGAGTAGCTCATGTCTGCTGTCAGGGGCACAGAAGCACTGCTCAGTGCTGCACCAGCACCCAAGGCTCGGCACTGCTCCCTGAGAATAAGCTCCAGGGTGATGGAGGTGACCTCCTACTCAAGAGTTCTGAAGTTAGCAAATGTGGACTTGGCTGATCAGAAGAGGTCATCTGCTGAGGCTGAAACACCTTCTCCATCCCTGCCTGCTCAAGCAGACCCAGAGAATGCCTGTAGCTTTGAAGTCCTGAGTGAGCAATGAGAATTTGGGAGCTCAGATAATGCTGGAATGTCTTCTGAAGAAAAATCTAGAAGAATGGATTATGTAGATAGCATTGAAGGACTCCTACTTTTTTTGAAGTTGAAGAACTATTTTTATTCTTCTGAACTATTTATATATATATTTAACCTGGTACATATTATATTTTTCTATATTTTTAAGCTACTTTAAGTAGCCTTAAATAAAAATAAAACAAAGAGGGATGTCTGTCCAGGAACAAAATGAGTGCTAAGCTCAGAAATGAGGAGGCTAGGAGAGTAGGTCTTTAAGTCTTATAGATCCCTGAGTCTACCAAAACCTGATGTGAATGGCACATTAATTGGGAAGTAGGAGCTGGACTGGTGAGGCAGAGAGAATGTGGGGTGGAGAGAGTTCTGGCCTGGAGCCTTGAGAAGCCCAAGCAAGCCTTGTCCTGTGGGTTTGATTTAACTCACAAGACCATATGTGGTAGGTTACTACAGTGATTCCCATGAATTCTACCTCGATGCTCTTGGTAGCATCCTCCCACAGTGACTCTGGGTTTGGCCATATGACTCGCTTTGGCCGATGGCTTATCAGCAAACATGGTATAAGAAGCTTGAAAAGCATTTGTGTATTGAGGCTTCCCCTTCCAGAATGTCCTCTCCATATGAAGAAACCCAGGCTCACCTATTAGAGACAGGTAACCCAGGTGACAGCCAACACCATCTTCCAGACATGCATGTGAGGCCATATTAGACCACCCACCGTAGCTGAACTGCTAGATAGATGACGTCAGCAGCACGAGTGACTCTAGGTAAGACCAGCAGAAGAACCACTAGCCAAGCCCAGCTCAAAGTGCTGACCTATAGAATCCTGAGCAAATAAAATGGTTGTATTTTAAGCCACTGAGTTTCAGTGGTTTACAATGTGGCAGTATGTCAGATGTCTCCTATTTTCATCTAGCACCTTGCTCTGCACATACTATGTGATCAATGAATAAATTCTTCAATAGCTTTTATTTAAGGAGGTGCAGAATAAGAGAATGAAAAATAGTATAGAATAGTAGGGGTTAGGCATTTAAACTCTCTGTGCCTCAAGTCTTTTTCTAGATTGGATATCTTATATCACCAGGTTTAGGTAAAAGTAGATGATGTTGATGAGTTCTGTTCCCCTCCCCCAACTGCATTAGAAGGTCAGAAATGTGTGTTAACACTCAAAGGTGAGAAGTCTCCCCAGTTTCCTCCTTGCATTTTCCTCTCCACTTAGTTGGTTTGAGGACTTTAGGGAGAAGCATGGGTACCAGCTGAGCTACCAAGGGGTTCATGCCACACGAGCCCCCAGGCTACTGAGTTGATCCCTCCTTGGAAACTCACAGATAGTGCTGGTATGAGGCACTTGGCAAAGCACTTTCCTAGATGTCACCAATGAATTTTCATGGGTCTTCCTCCCTCCCCATGGAGAGAGAAGAAGGAAAATCATGCTTCATGGATGCAAACTATGACTCAATTTCATAAGAATAAAAAGAGCTTTGTAATTTTCAAAGTATATTCTTGGGTAACTCTCAAATAGGTAGTTTGTCTCAGGGCTCTGTGTTTGCAATTATTTAAATAATCTATTAATGATTGATAAGCATAATTTAAAAATGAAACAGACTCTATGTTAACTAGATCTTTTTTTTCTCTCATAATGATTTATTTAATGAATCATATCTTTCTTATCTCTGCTCCATGGAGAGGTCAACCTGGCTGCATTTCAGTTGCCAAGTTTCTCAAAAATGGTTGCCCTATTTGCACCCAAGAAATGCAGTGCATGCACAGATCTCTCTTAACCTTTAAGGAAGGGTAACCTTTTCTTCTTTCCTGTAGCCTTGCCCACAGCGGAAGAAGCAGCAGTCATCTGAGGCAGTTTATTCTGTAGGTGCTGTTTCTAAAAATCTTTCAACAGCTATTACTATATGAAGGACAAAGCCCCAGGACAGGTTTTACCGGGATACCATTGAATGGCATCCCAGATGAAATACTTCTTTTGGGGCATCCTAGGGCTGCTATCTGGGTGTATGCCCTGGGTGAGCTTAAGACTTTTTGGACACATCAGATATTGCCATGATCGGACATCAAAGGCTTGAGCTTACAATATTTTCTGGAGGTTAAAGATTGAGATACTCCCTCAATAACGAGTCTTTGATTGTTATTCACTATTTCCAACTATCTCTTTCTTCAATAAGGAGTCAATAAAAAAACAACAACTGCCTATTATGAATGACCCAGTTTGCTAGGTATAGTAAGCTACCAAAGAAACATAAAGTCTCTGGTCAAGCACATGAGTATTCTACATATCTGTATGTCAGAAAAATGTCAAATCAAGAAAGATAAGAGGAAAAAAACTAAATTGAAGTAGAAATGAATGAATCCAACTTTATTGAAAGGAATAACACCACCATGCTGAAAGGGACACGGGGCAGGGGGACTAATTCCAATAATTTTTTAACATAGCATGTTGTATACCCTCAGTCCAGGAGAAAATAAAAAAGAACTACCAACAAATATTGAATTCTTTTTAGAAGGTTTGTTTTGTGTAGTGACATGCTGTGGTAATGGGTGTTGTAGAAGTAAGTAAATGAGTACATGTGTCAAAATTCTGGGAGCCAGAGTTCTGTGCGAATGTGGAATGGAGGAAACCCAGGAAGAATGCTACGAGACTGGTTTGGAATCAGAGATTTCAGTGAAACTCATGATTTCTGCTCTTAATCTCTGAGCTTACGAATCTATTCTTTGATCACTTGTCTTTCTTGGCCCATCCTGTTCTAGTCACAGAGCATTTTCTTCCCATCACTTCAATGTATTCAAACCCTGCCTTTTCTTCACAAAGTCTTCTATCCTCTCTCTCCCTAGAAAATAACGATTTCTCCTTCTCCGAACTTCCATGGCTCCATGACTAAAATTCATTGAAAGCACATTAATGTTGCACTTAGAATAAGGTTATGTGTGCCTTACCTACTATAGCACTTTTTGAGGAAAGACCAATGTCTGATTCTTCTTTGTTTCTCCCGGAATGCCAAGGAATTCCATATGACTTGTTCAATGAAAGAAGGAAGGGATTATTTTAACAAGAATAAATGCAACATTCTGCAAAAAATCTGAACATTTAACTGCACTTACTTGAAAGAGGGAAGAGGTACCCGGATGATAAAGCTTGATTTCAACACGCTCACTGTGGACTGACTGTGTAATATGGCCTTCAGAAAGCTAGTGAGGTTGTAGGACATATTAGCAGAGGTGTGGTACTTAGAACAAGGGAGGTATTGGGCTGCTCTGTTTGGCCTTCAGCAGACTATTTTCTGGTGTTTGATGTTTTTGGTGTTGCGTTCAGATATTTTGGGGCATGCATCGTGAGCAGAATGGAATAAATGGGATTATTTCTACTGGAATCAAGACTCCTAGGGAAGGGAAGGAGCCCAGAGAGGGGAGGATGCAGAAAAATTGTCTTTAAGTATCTGAAAAGATGACATATGGAAGAGGTATTCTATTTATTTTGTTATCCTAGAGAACAGATGTAGTATCAAATTTGATGGAGATGGTGCACAGGAGATTTTTGTCTCAGCGTAAGGAAGGGCTTTCTGACAAATAGAATTGTCTCACTTGAAAGAGGCTATTTAGAGTCAGGTATTAATTTTCTCCTTCTTGGCAATATTCTGGGAGAGCTGGCCAGCCATGTGGTACTGGTATGGGGTCCAACTAGATGACTCCTAGATACCATCCACTCTAATTTCTTCTGACTGTAAGATGCTTAGTAAGAAGATCCAAGAGACACATCATGAACAAGACAGCATGTGATTGAATGATGAACCATGATGCATAGTCAGTGAGTCTGAGAGGAGCCAGCAAGGGAGCAGTAGAGTCCTCGGGCTGGGCTTCATGGAGGAGTGCATAGGATGGCACGGGGAGGGAGTGAGGGGCCTTTGGGCTGAAGGTCCAGCCTCAGCAAACAGGAAGGTCTGCACAGCAGTGAGGCCGAGCTGGGAACTTAGGCTGAGAAATGTGGGGTCAAATTGTGCTTTGAAAGTTCATCAGAGGCATTGCAACCATGCCCTGAATTGGAAGCTTCGGTTCTTATTTCCATCAATCACCAGTTGAGCAACTACGAGTAA